GGGGGGGGGGGGGGTGAAGCCTCATGAGCACCCGCCTGGAGCGCGCCACCGACTAACGTGGTAATATTGGGTGACACAATAACCTGACATTCGTTCTCCAGTGGGCGAAATAGTGGAAGAACAGTCTTATCTCTAACGTGAAATGCTTCATCTCTTCAACTGCACTTTAGAAGCTTCGGCTGATAAGGGCTCGCCAAAGAACGTGCCGAGTTATCTCTCGATATCTGGAAGTTTATTTCAAGGATAAAAGATTTTATTTTGACAAATAGCGAGTTTTATCACGTACAAAGTCTGTAGATTTTATTTCAACTCGAAAGTAGTATAGTGAAATTAACTCTTATGACTTAACTCTCTGAAATTAAAATCTTCAGGCTCATTGAAGAGCTCATATTTGAATTTCATTAATATGACCATTATAGGCTTAAAATTAATGTGCTTATAGTTTCAGAAGAAATTTCTGAACAACATCTTTGAATGCTGTCCAAGCCTCATTCTGAGCAATTTTTATTCTTGTTTCAAATACTTCATCTTTAAAGAGTTTCCGAATATCTGGACCAATGAAAACACCTTATTTTACTTTAGCTTCTGAGACTCCTGGAAATTTGCTGCGCAAGTATTGAAAACACACTCCGTCATGCGGCAAGGCCTTCACAAATTGTTTCATTAGTTCGAGCTTTATGTGAAGTGGTGAAAGGAGGACTTTTCGTCGATCAACCAAACTTTCTCGTAAACAATTTTGTGCTCAGCTTTGTGGAAGACATAAGGAATAGGAGAGATGACATCAGACTGGAAAGAACAGAGCAATATAGGAGAAGGTTTTCGTATCCTGGATGATCGGAAATGAAACTGATAGAAGTGGACGTTGAGAGTTTGAAAGGGCCGTAATGTAATGTGGCGCCGTCGATCTTTAACTTTACTTTTTTAGCCCTATGCTTGGGAATTTCATTTGTGACGTTAGTCGCCGGCTGTCTGAGAATGTTCACGGGATGGCCTGTTTCGGTTGACTGGAAGGAAGCGTTAAAATCGGAAAGAAAGACATTTACTTCAGTTTTAGTGAACACAAACTTTAATCTACTGAATTTGTGTAACAAAATTGTCCACTTTCTATGAGCTCACTACATTAGACTAACATTTCCTTGGTTTTCTCGAAGCGCGTTTTGTTTAAACCTTAGAACGGCTTAAAATGGAGAGCGCCTTCGTTCCGCTGTGCGTGGCGTCGATGCGCGCCTGGGCGTCCGCCGGTCGGTCAGCTGGTTCCCGCTGGGAAATCGGGGGAGGGGCGAGTCAAGGGCTCGGCACCTTCCCCGTCCTCGCGAGGCAGGGCGGCGCACTTTATGCACTGCGGCTGCGGTGCTCAGTTGACTCCAGGGCCACGCACTCTGACAATCTGTCTTTAACCGATAGGGCAGGTTTTGAAAGGTCACTGAACCTTATGATAACGACGCAATACGACGCACTGCACCAAGTCCCGCTGGTGGGCGGGTAAGCACAACTCGAGCGCTAGATCCAATTACATGAAGTTCACTCAATCTATCGCGCGTTAGCACGCCATCTCCCGTTGCGCCTTCCTCATCGCCCTCACCTGTCCGTCGCAACTTCTGTAAAACACAACTAACTGCTGCGCAAGATCGCGATCGCTAGATCCACGTTCACATTTAATCTATTTTCACAAGTCCGGTAAAGTAAAAGAAATTACCGCGAACGGATACTGGCTCTGCAGCCCAAACTCATCTCCTCGTCAACTCTCTCTAGGCTTCTACAATCCCTTCTTCTTCCCACCCTAGGAATTACGCACTGGGAGGGGCCGAAATCCATTGCACAGTCATATTTCCCCATGATGGCTGATGCAAGCGGCGCACCTGCAGCTGAAGGCCCGATTCTGCGCGCTGGTCTTGGACATTTCTTTGGAGTAGTGATCTTGAGCTGTCGCAGTCGGATATCAGTGGAGTGGAGGGGAGGGAGTGTGGGCAGGGGGAGAGAGGGGTCCGGAAGGGGGCGCTCACAAAGGAACGATGCGTTGCGCTTAGTTCCGTAATCTCGAAAGAAAATAACAAAATCTGACTTCTATTTTATTTGAGATTATTTCAGCAAATACTGCGACGTCACAGAATAAAAAATAAGCAGGGGGGAGGTAATATGCGCTAAAGAGGGAATTTTGAAAAAAATATGATTTCAGTAAATGTCGAGTTTGGAGCTTGTAAGAGAGAATCCACTCTAATTTTGAGTAATTTTGTAGCACGAAATAAAGAATAAGTTTTTTCTGTCGTAAGTCGTTCTGTCGTAATGTCGGCGTTTTCTGGCACACGATTACATAAATTTATCTTCTTACGAAGAATTAGTATTTGCGCGAAAGTAAAAAAATAGAGTAGTTAGTTAATAGGATATCGTATCAGAAAATCTTTTTTTAATCTGTTCGGCAGTACGGTGAGAATGAAGCGGACTTCCTAGGTTCCATGTGCATGTGATACGTAGGACCAACATAACTTTTAGTGCTAGCAATACATAGAAATATATGTAAATCACGAAGATATGAATTTTATTGATAAGTGAGTCGAAATCTCGGAACACTACATGCGGAACACTTGAGACATTAATTAAATGCTCACTTTAATAGGAGTATTCTCAAACTTGACCTTTAAAACAAGATCACTGGATGGCTAGAACCTTCGCGCTGGATTGCAATGTGTGAAAGGTCTACTAGCAGCTGTGTACATTTTAAGACGCAGTATGTGATAAGAAAATCCAATGTTCCAGGCCAGTTTTGAGGAGGAGGAGATGGCTGCCCCATGATCCTCTTGGCATCGTAGACGCCGGCGTCTTTCTCCTCCAAAGCCGCCAGCGGGAACTCACATTGACTTTGAGTCTTCTCGCTGCAACGAGTGGACCGAGTCTGGCAACTCATTGAACGGCAGCGCATTGAGCCTGGTAGAAAGAAATGCAGGGTGTGGCCGCCAGTTTCCTGTTTCAGCGTTCGTAAAGTCTCCTCAAGTTCGAGGAAGGGAGATCAGGTAGCTCCGAGAGCTGAAGGGAAGTGAATTTCTTCCAAAATGGGTGATCGCAATTTTTGAAGCTGGTATGGTTTTAATAGTCTTTCCTTTAGTTTTATATCAGAATTTTAACGTTAAAAAATATTTTATAAAAGTAATTATCACAATTTTTGTATTATTTTTTATGCTCAAAGTTATTTTTTCGTAGTAATCAAATCTATAGCACGATCAATGCGTATTATATCATTCATTTATATCTGTCATTATAAAGGCAGCAGTAGAAGGAATCTTACTGTCGATTAGATTTTGACATTCCATAATACTCATTTCGAAGAATGTATCACAATAAGGCGCGTGAATTTCCATTCCTTTTAATCTTTGCTTATCATAAGTTTTAACCGAGCCAAGTGAATGTTACAGATATTTGAAAACACGGCCTCTTCCGAAGATGGCAACATGCTTCAGAGGGCTCTTGCGACAACGTGCTTCTAAAAACCGTCAGTGGCCAACCTTAACACTCACGCCCCACCTGAGTGAGCATTCGCGGAATCGGTGGGCGGAGTTTGGCCCTGAACACGACTGCAGCGCATTGCGAGGTCGCCGCACGCAAGCAGAATGGGGACCCTTGAAGAGAAGAAAGCCAGCTCTCGGGCTCTGGAGCTCATCAATTTATTATGTACTACAACGCGTTGTGGCTTGCTTTGCACTGGTGCAGAGGATGTAGTTGAGGAGCGTACATTGGTTGCGATGAAGCAATTAATTTGTTTCATTGTCGGAATATGTACAAAACTTTCTGTAAAATAATTTCTGTGCCTGCACTAGGCTAACGACATACACAAGATATTCTCCCGAGTAAATAATGGTGAAAAAATTACGTGTAATTAAAATATTTTATTGTTAAACAGTGTTGTTTAAACTTGTTTTCTATTTAAATGTACGTAATACATCTTGTTGAATGCACACGTGTTGATCGAGACATTTTCTTCAGGGCCGTAATTGGCGACGTAAGACTGAAAGAGAGGTATTGCAGTATGAGATCGAAAGGGAGAAATAAGAGGTATTGCATTAATGCTAGAAGGTATCTGTCAAACTGGACCTGAGGTTTTTAACCTAGATTTCGGGAAGCATTTTGACTCCTTGTAGTCGAGTAAAAACGTTCCAAGTGTTTTGACGTTGTAAAAAGTGAATTAACAATATCAAAATTGTTGCAGGAGAATTGAAAATTTGATGTACTTACATAAACGACGGGAATGGCAGTTTCCAGATTTGTTTTGCAGATTATAACAGCAAATATTAAAAATCTTCCATTCAGAGCTATTATATGTTAAAAGCTGTTCTGATTTTTAAAACTTCATGGCACGTTGACAGATGTCACCAGCATCTAACATATATAAAGCATAACTGCAAGGATAACATACTTTTATCATGCATCTTAAAGTAACAAAATAATTTATCATATATTGAATTAATATTAAAAGAGTACATTGCAGATTAACATGATTATTTAAAGCAGCTTCCAAATCCAATTCCAAAGTGGTAGTTTATTTCCTCTCATCATAACTGACATGCTTCCTCTCCTTACTTTTTCTTAATATATTATTTACCTCTTCTGCTAATCTCAGAGATATGCATTTTTTGGAAACTAGGAGGCAAAAAAAATGCTATCCAAACTTATGTACTATGCATTTAACTAAATCAGTAATTGTATAACCAAAACAATAGTATTGTGAATGTTTTCCATTTCTCTTATTAAAGTAACCTTTCAGCTTAGGAAGAAGTTGTGTTTTATTTCTCATAAAGATATGTAAATAATTACACAAAAGTAAATATTTTCAAATATTTTGAGAAAGATTTTCATTACACATGGATTTCTTTAAATGTTTTTGAATGAACAATTGGCGAAAACGAGTTTCAATTTATTTCAGTCAAGGTAGTATTCAAGTCTTGTAGAATCATTCTATTAAGATATTGGAACAAGACCTTTTTTTAAATGTTGTTAAATACTTTATTTTATAGTTGTTAAAGTTTTCGGGCTGTAGGTTTCTGAATGCAGTACAACGAAGAAGCAAAGAATATTGTTTCGCAAAATAAGCCTACCAATTAGTAGTCAGAGTGCCTATCCACGTAAATTGGTTATAAGAGTGGCTCCATAAAACATTTGCAAGTGCAAAATAGAATGGTATACAGAAACCTGCAACAGCTCTGAAAATAGGACTGATGTATTTGATCTGTAAATATATTTTTTGTGAATCCAATTTGGAGGTAAATTTATCCAAATGAAAGACATTTAGAAGGAAATTTCAAATGTTTAATTGTAAATGTGATGGTAATATTGGTCCTAATATATTCTACATTTAGTGCATTGTCAAATTTATTAAACTATTATAACAGTAAAACTAAATGTAACTCCAAATTATTTGCATCCTTTGTAAAAGAAAAGTCAGGGTCAGAACACTTCGTTCTCCTTTGCTAACAATATAAGCATCAACGTCCTTACCATCACCTAGTGTAGATATTTCCTAGTATTCTTTACCCTTAATAAAGTGGAGTGAAATAGTAGTTTTGGACCCTTAATGGGGACTCGTATTTTCCTATTTCCATCTTCCATCAACAAATCCTTCTTAAAAATTGATGTGAGTAAATTTCTTCCGAATTAGTTTAATGAATCAACAGGTGGGCAAAGTGGTATAGTGAAAACTAATTTATGGAAATAATGCACTGTATCTTTAGTAAAATTTAAGAGCTTAAAATTCGAGGGGTCTTATGCGACAGGCTGCACGATCGAAAAAATGGAAGTCAATTGACCTCGGAATTTTGGGAAGGCAATAGTCAAAGTTTCATTTTGTGAGCAGCATTTTGTAACTATTACGACTTTTTGCTATTTGGGACAACCAAGACCTACTGTAGCGAAATAATAAAAAAACTTTGAGATTGCTTGCCAATGGCAGTGGTTTGTTTCAAACAAAAAAAAGCACATCATTGTGAGTGTGAAGTCATCTTCCTTTGTACCCATAATATTGCAAGAAGTCCAATTCAGTTGCTAAAAATATTACGAAAGCCTAGAAAATCAAGAAAACTACCTAGCTAGACACTTACTAGACACTAGTCAAGACAAGAAGATTGTGAAGATTTTACCCTCTATCTCTTGAATAAAGAAGATTTTTGAATGAAAGACGTTTAGTATGATTATTTCCAAAAAAATTGCCTGCTGATATTTTAATAATGTATACAATTTATATTTGTTTACTTCATAAAATGACATGAAGGACTCTAAATTACCAGTTCCTTTACATGGCATTTTAAAATTGGTCCAAGGATTTGCCTATTGTTTGGATGTAACAATTACAAATAAAAATATATAAAGTAAAAAAATATATTACGAGCAAAGAAAGACTGCTGAATACATGAAACAGTAAATATAAATACCAATTTTTATTTAGAAGTGAAGATATTCGAGATTTAAGTGTGTAGGAATCAATCTAAATCACTTTTACGAATTAGCTCATAAATGTAGTCCCATATTACACTGTGTAAGCGTAGTAAATGTAACTTGCCCATATGGAAACGTTCCCTGTATGTATAAAAATGATAAACGTCAAGGATAATGATTTTGAGAGACATTCCGCAACCTGTTGCGCAGTAGTCCAGCGCCATGTTCCAGACTAGTAGCTTTCGAAACTTCTCAAAGTTTTCAAAATAAATCTTAAAACATCGGAACGAAACCCTTCGACCCTGGCAAATCTTTAAACAACCAAATTTTAGTGTTCGTCCTCATCTTCCGTCTCTGCCTTTCTTCTTAGTTTTTCAATATCGTCTTTGTATTTCTTCTTCTTTACCATTTAGCGTGTAAATATTCGTGTCTGTCTTCCGACTTCGACTCTGATTTCGTCTTTGTCTTTCGTGTTTCGCCATCATTTTTAGTCTTAATTTTTCGCTTTCCGTCATCGTTTTTACCTTCGCCTTTCAGCTTTCGTCTTCAGCTTTCGTTTTCGTTTTTGTCTTTGCCTAGGACTTTCGTTGTCGTCTTTCGACATGGTCATTCTTCTTCGTCCTCGTCTTTCGTCTTCTTCTTTCAAATTCGTCTTTAGTCTTCGTCTTTCGTCTTCGTCATTCGTCTTCGTCTTTATCTTCGACTTTAGTCTCCGTCTTTAGGTCTTCACCGTTCGTCTTGGTCTTTAGTTGAAGTATTTCGTCTTCGTGTTCGTCTTCGGTCTGTTGTCTACCGTTTTCGTCTTTGTGTTTCGTCATTTGTCTGTTGTTTCTCCTTGTCTTTGTCTTTCGTCGTCTTCTTCTTCGTTCGTCTTTCGTCTTCACTTTGTGTCTTCGTTCTTTTAGTCTTTCGTCTATCGTCTTTTCGTCTTCGTCTTCGTCTTGTTTCGTCGTTGTCGTCTGTCTCATCGTCTTTCATTTTCGTCTTCGTCTTTCGTTCTTTCGTGTTGCGGCTTTGCGGTCCTTCGTAATCCTTCTTACACCTTCGTCTTTGCGTCTTCGTTCTTTGCATCTTCGTCTTTCGTCTTCGTCTTTCGGCTTCGTCTGCGTCTTCGTCTTCGTCTTCGGTTCTTCGTCTTCGTCTTCGGTCTTCGTCTTTCGTCTGCGTCTTTTCGTCTTTCGGTCTTTCGTCTTCGGTCTTTCGTCTTTTCGTTCTTTCGTCTTCGTCTTTACGTCTTCGTCTTCGTCTTCGTCTTCGTCTTTCGGTCTTCGTCTTGTCTTTTGTCTTCGCCTTCGTCTTTCGTCTGCGTCTGTCGTCTTCGTCTTGTCGTCTTTCGTCTTTCGTCTTCGTCTTTCTCTTCGTCTTTCGTCTTCGTCTTCGTTCTCGTCTTTTCTCTTCGTCTTTCGTCTTCGTCTTTCGTCTTTGTCTTCGTATTCGGTCTTCTCTTCGTCTTCGTATTTCGGTCTTCGTCTTTCGTCTTTCGTCTTTCGTCTTCGTCTTTCGTCTTCGTCTTTCGTCTTCGTCTTTCGTCTTCGTCTTTCGTCTTCGTCTTTCGTCTTCGTCTTTCGTCTTCGTCTTTCGTCTTCGTCATCGTCTTCGTCTTTCGTCTTCGTCTTCGTCTTTCGTCTTCGTCTTTTCGTCTTCCTCTTTTCGCTCTTTCGCTCTTTCGTCTTCGTCTTTTCTCTCGTCTTTCGGTTTCGTCTTTCGGTCTTTCGTCTTTCTGTTCATCGTCTTTCATTTTCGTCTTCGTCTTTCGTCT